TGGTAAGACGAATGGAAATGCAATACAAAGCAGGAGGTCGTGGGTTCAAGTCCCACCCGAGTTATTTTTTTCTCACTTTCACTTGGGAGGTAACACACTGAGTATACAGTGTGAAGGGCTGAACCTAATATTGAATTTCATCAGCCAACGCAAATTCCATCTTATGAATGTTTTTTCTTTGCGTACCAGTTGTGAATGATATTGAATTGGAGGCTTTGGATAACTTATTTACCCAGTATTCACTGGAGTAAAATCATGTGGAATACTTTTACTGTTCTGTCTGATGGGGTTCTCACACCTGAGCCATTGGATACATTTGGGGTTCCTTGGTTTTTTTTTGAGCCCTGTTACATATGACATGCATGAGATTTTAAACTCCAGTTGTACTCCTTAGTGCCTTGTTTCTCTGTGAATGATTATGAAGAGCAACATTTATGTACCTTCCTAACCAAAAAAATACTACTTTGAAGTTATTTTTAATGATTCTTGAATATCAAATTGCAAAGTTTGGGGTAACAGGGACCAAAATTTCAATTTGAACCATTAATTTACAGAATGACCATTTCTAAAACTGCAATTCCCCTTCTTTCTCATTTGGTCTAACTTAAAGGGAAGATACAACATTTGCAAACATCAAAAAATGAAATGATCGAATTATCACGAAAGACCATACTGAATTGTTAGGGAATGACAGTCTAAAGCATCCTGTAAAGTTGTGGCTCCTGGTGTGCTGACATTTCAAGAAAATTAGCATTTTTCCAACGCTGGTCGGCCGACCAGCGTTGGAGAAAACTGCCCTTTTTTTCAAAAACTGCTCCGAATTGTTCATATTTAGGTGTTCCGCATTTTCTTTGCAATTGATCACACACCTGTGAAGGGGTACAAGCCTGCATGCTAGTCTGATTCTCTGACCTTACAATTCCTTAAGTCTACAAATAGCTGTTTCATCTTAAGTGGGGTCAGGAAACCAGACTACAAGAACATCATCGGTTTTCTTGGTTTTCCCAGCATCTACAAGCCCAAAACGTGAAACAAATCAGTTTTAAAATATTTGCTATAGCATACTAATCCTCCAAATCCATTTAATTTTTAAAATTGCAGCAAAAGCAAATGTTGTACATTCCCTTTAACAAGAGGAGTGTAGAGACTCTAATAAGGAAAAAAAATATGTTTCAGGGGAAACACATGTAGAACAAGTAAACCCAATAAAAAAAAAGTTACAGCGCACATAATAGTTTTTTTTTTTAGAGCCCAGTAAACTCATAAACCATTGTGCTTGAGTAATCATTTTATTGGCTTGCATTTTACATGCTTGTGGATAAGAATAATTGTAAGGACAATAGTTGCAATATTACAAGTGGGGTCAACAAACTTGTTTGCAACTTTGTAGATCAAACCTGCATGCCTTTTTTTTAAACTGTACCGCCGGCGGATTTCCTCAATCATTTGTGACTAAACTGCAAACAATCATTTCTCAATCCCTGGTTGAACTACACAGGTAGAGGTGCAGAGGTGGTTTTTGTGTGCGGTTTGAGGTTCATGCCTATCATTTCCTTTCCTATCCATTGTTATGTACGGTATTTTGCAAGCATGTCCTAGGGAGGGACTTGCAATGATTTCCTTGTAATGCTAAAGGGGAATATCCAGTAACAGCGCATAATGAGCAATGTAGATCAACTTAAAGGTATATGTAATATACACAGGGGTGTGAAATCTCAGCTTTAAAGCTGATTTTAGCTTTTTTTTGTTTTGGATTTCAGCTTCTTTCCCTCACTTGCTGTGTACAAAAGTATAGGAGATTTCCAAAGTTCAGCTTTTTGGCATCTTTTTCAGCTGTTTTCAGCTATTTTTTATCAGTGGTCACTCATACCCCTGTATACAACATTTGCAAACATCGAAAACACAAAGCTACCAAATTATTATGAAATAAACACCTCCAAAATAAAAGAAAAAGTCCACACTCATTGGAGGGGTCATAATTTTGAATCTGATCGTGTTATGATAACGTCATTTATATAGACCTTTGGGGAATGTTGTAAGCTACATTTTGATACCCCGTTTGCTATCGAAGATTGTAAATCGTCCAACATTGACAACATTTTATGAAAAATGATGCAGTTTGAAAAGTTGCAGATTGATAGGGTACGCAAGTCTAAATTACTGCGTGACAATGTCACACTGCATGAAACGAATGGTAGAGAATACCGATCGCACAGTGCCTGCATGCATGGGAGCACGCAAATTGAATTACCCGCGCTTTGTTCGGGCACTGTGCAGTCAATAGGGGCCAAGTACAGGCATGTGTGGTTACGCCTAGCAATTTCTTCTCATGTTATCTTTAAATTGGCAACTTTTCAAACTGCATCATTTTTCATAAACTGTGCTAAAGAAGTGTCTATTTAAATTATGGTTTTTCAGTAATGAATCAGAAGAGGAGTGAAGTTCACTATTTTTTACATGATATTCTAATCCCCTTGACCCTACAGCTTAATGAAATGTGAATAAATTGGAAATAAAAACAGCACCCTCTAGCATCAACAGAGGTCCAGCCCCCCCCCCCTCATTTATTTTCATACATTTCAGAGGAACAGATATTTGTTATACCTGGACAAAATTTGTTACAGTTAAAAAATCATGCCATTGCCCCTTTAATCAATATTCTGTAGTTGGTATGTAGGACACTGTGAAGCAATCTACACTGACTGCCCCTTTAACCCAAAGTGCTGATACTTGAGCTACACGTAATGCCCTAATCAAGGAACTGACAACATTGAGCAATCTAGTGCAGTCCATGTACCTGGGCAGGCATTGTATGCAGATTACATTGTACAGTGCAGTTGAAGGAGTGGAGTCTTTCATGTCTTTATTTCTGGGTAGGCCCTATTCCTCAGGGTCGTTTCAGACTTGCCCATAGGGGCCACAGCTCAATCACTTCTCAATTTTAACATTCTCTTTTCAAGGAAACATGAAATATTGTGCTTAAAATCTAATGGGACACTTCAGATATTGAGCACTGAGAAAGAACACACCAATATATTTATTGCCATGTGTAAAAAAACCCCTCAAAATGGGCTTTCTTGTTGATTCTCTTGCTATACAGTACTATTTGACATTCAGAATCAAGTTTTTTTTTCTGTGTAAAGAGTGAGTGAGTATTTCTCAGTCTGGGAATTATGGTATGCTTGTACATGCATTACATGTACATGTAGGTGACTGCTCCACATGTATGTTCTGACACCCCTATGTTTCGACACCCCATATTCCAAGATTGTGTTACTCCTGGTTAGGGTTAGGGTACCGGTACCTTGTTAGGGATAGGAATATGTGCAGTCGGAACATAGGGGTGCCGGAACATAGAGGTGTAACCGTACATGTAAATGCACAATGTGTACCATTAGTGAATCACTTGCATCTATTTGCCTAGTGATACAATTACTGAACACTGTCAGTGCCTATTCAGCAGGGGTAGGGGAAGCAGGGGAGGGGGAGACTCCTCCCCCCCCCCCAAACATTTTGCAATGTTTTATTGTTTTGGTTTTTTTTTTAGGGAATGGAAAGCATCAGCACCTTATCCCTGCTTTAAATCATTGTACCGACCACATTGAATATTGTCCACTTTAACAGAGCCCCCATGGGTCACATGGTGCCCCACTACCCCCCCCCCCCCCCCGGGTTTTTTTTTTTTTTGGGGGGGGCTGCCAGGCAACTAGAACAACATTCCTAGCTGCATTATCTTCCAGCATAGCGTGGTCGGTCATCAATTCTTTTCACGACCCCCATTCAATTGGTCTGGCAATGCCCATGATTTTGCCTTAAAACATTTCCACAGGCAGTGATTTTGAAAACAAGCTGCTATTTCGAAAAGAATAATTTTTGTGGAAAAAGGAGTACTTCAGGCCAAAAAAAAAAGTTTTCTGGTATGGAGCTTGCCCAAAAAGTGGTGCGGTGACGCAGCTTTTTTTTTTTTTTTACCTGATTTTTTGCTTCAAATGTCGGCTGATGACTGCAAATGGTGCCCGACTAAACTTAGTGCAAATATATGGGAGTCCAGAGAGGCCACATAAAGCTTATTCTCGACCATAACCCAATCTAAAAACACGTTAAAATTGTGCAGCAGCAGGATTCCAGTCAAACCAGTGAGTTTGGCGGTTTTGAGACATCATCTTTCATTGAAAAAAACCTTTTTTATTTTGCCTACGGCCACGCGCGCGCATACCAGAAACCGGAGATTTTTTTTTTTGGCCTAAAGAGTCCTTGGGGAAAACGAAGGACGTGTACTGTACATGTAGGTAACTATGTCAGTGCATTGAAAGTTAGTGGTCACAGATTGGGCTTGTGTGCCATAAAGCGGGGGTTCATTGTATGCAGATACCATTGTTGAGAATGCATGCGTCTTAATGCCACCAGGTCCAACCTTTTGTGTAAACAGCAGCGTTTTAGCTCAAAATGATGGACTGCTGAAAAAAAGAACCTTTATTGTTGATATTGTGGAATATGATGGGTAATATAGAGGAAGTGGATTGAGAACTAAGACTGAGAATGGAGAGGGGTAGGAGAGAGCCAGTGATGATAATGACAGATGATGACATCCTCCTCCAACCCCCCCCCCCCCCCCCCTCACCATGGGCAGTACCAAGATTTTTTCGGGGGGAGGGGGGGGGGGCAAAGCACTTTTCAGAGGTTGTGCCCCCCCCCCTCCCTGGGTGAGTGTCGGAGCACTGCCAGTGCAAAATCGCTATACCAAATGATCGCCACAATTTCTGTGGATCCGACGATGTTCGTTATAGCAGCGTTCCACTGTACTTTTGAATGCCTTAAAAAATAACAACAATTATTGTTAAATATGTTATAACAAGACTTAGGGCAATACTGTAAATAACAATCAGAAAAGCAATGTTTATGTGACCTCAACATAATCCTTTCAAGTTGAAATAAAATTTCACTCATTGTGTAAACAGAAAACCATCCTCTTTTTTTTTTTTTACTCCTTTGTCATACAGAAATCGCGCTCACAAGCGGCAGATACGCGACGTGGTGTCAGAGTTCAGCCTGATGTGCCGTGGCCTTCATGGCACGGAGTACGCGGAATATTGACTAAAATGTGCAAACTGGATCAAGAACAGCGAATTCTCGGCGGCCGACATCCTGGGGCTGTGAGACAGTTTCCGAGTTTTCTGGACGAGTCGAGTCACGAGTCAAGACGGGAAAACGCTCGCTTCAAGTGAGTGGACACTCAAAAACACTATGAAAAGCACAAAATCACTTTGTCATCAGTTTGCAATAGCAAATCTGTGAAATACAATCTTGTCTTTTTCCCTTGAGAAAAATACTTCTTCCCTTCAGCAATACTTCAGCAACTCTATATCTTTTGAAAGCTCAACGGTTAGGAACTAACCCTAGGAAACCAACCCTGTACACCCCCAATATTCCACTTTCAACAACTCTTAACAACTTATTACCAAATTAAAAATACTCAAACTTGATTCAGTTTGCACTTATACAGTACAAGTTTAAAGTCTAAAATGTCATCAACTTTTCCCCTTTTCTATTAATTTGTTTTCTTTCCCCAAAGGAACAAAGTTCTATTGGACCTATTTTTGTATCCAGGTTTTAAGGGTTCACAACAATAACATTTTGGATTTACCTTTAGATAATGGACGCTCCTTTGTCTTTTAAGTAACTCCAGAAGATACCACTCGTTAATACGGGTGTTGTGTAATTAGGTATTTTTTTCTCTCTCGTAACTTATCGCAATCTGTTGTGTAAATATTTTTTGCGTATAAGTGATGAGAGATAAACGGTTGAAATCTCTGCAAACAAAAATGTGGGAGGGGAAATTTTTTTTAATTTTTTTTTTTACTTGTGCAAATATCAGTTTGATATTTTATGCTTGACTCAGCACAACGAGCTGTTTTTCTCGTCATGCCCAGCTAGATTTGTCAGCGATAAACCATTGAGTAGATGATGAAATGATTGCGTTTGCAGATCTACTTGATCATATGTTCTGATGAGCATTCATGGTTTTAATGTTTGTCGAGCCTTGAATGAGATCAATCTCACCCATATACATGTATTTGTAACTTTTGGAACAAGTATGGTTGCACTTGCTGCATCTAATTCAAGTCCATGAATGGTCACGACATCTGCAGCTGATTTCGCGAAACATTGTGTAACTTATGCCATGTGTAGGGTTTGTGAGTAACACCAGTTTGTTGTGAAGCTGTGTAATAAATTTATGAAACACAGCATAGCTGCACAACATTTAAACTAATTTAAACTTCTTGGGTCAGGATAATAACAATACAATGGCTGTTTGTGTATGATTTCTGTGCAGTCACAGTCGTCGAATCACCTCTGCCCGCCATTTTGAAAACAATTTTGTCCCACTTTCTTCAGAATCGTGCCGCAAGTCTAAAAATTCTTTCAAGTTTTCCATCTTCTTGCTTTAAAAACAAAGCTGGGAGCGTCTTGTATCAACCCTGATAACTGATGATTATTCAGTTAAAAAGTCTATGTTCAGTTGCTACGCCGTAACTTACACAACCTAAATTGATTGCATAAGTTACACCATAATTTGTTGCGTAAAGCGGACTTATGCACTGTGATTCTTTCGTGAAATGTGACATAACTAAAATGTTGCACAAGTGAAAATGTTGCACAACTTGTGCAATTAAAATGTGGCACAAGTTGGGTTACACCATCGCTTACAGTTTTGCGAAATTGGCTGCTGGTCTTGTATGCAGAAGGTCTTAGGTTCGATTCCTGCTGACATTTTAACCCCAGGATTTTTAAAGCTTATGCTAATGAGGAAAAAAACACATCTCTGTCAAAAAAAAAATATCTTCAAAGATCAGCTATTAAAACGTGCCAGGTTCCTTGTAAATAGTTGGACGGCACCTTCTGTAAGTTTGGACAATATCTGTCTGCGAGGTTGTCTAGTCACAAACACTAACTCTTTAGGCATTTTTGCTAGGATGCAACCTCAAACCTGCAAAATCCTCCAACTGCCTCCATGTAAATATTGCATACAGCCTCAATCCTCCAAAATCATCTGTTATTTCTTGAATGTGGACCTTGGAGGGGTGGCCACTGCCTCAATCCTGCAAAATCCTCCAGCAATCACTGTCAATATGTTGCGGCAGAGCCATTGACATCCTGGAGAATTGTAGAGGATTTAAAGTATAATCTAGGCCTAAATTTGTGCACGGCTGAGCATGAACAACACTTGTAAGGTCTGGCCCAAGACCTTGACACAGTGCATACTCCAAATTCAGCCACGCATCTTTGCCATACATCCTGCAAAATCTTACAAAGAGGATTTTGGAGGATTTGGGAAGGTTTGAGTTAATTAATCATTGACCGTGAATGCCTTTTCTCAACATTGTTGTCTGTTGTGAAATAGCAAGCTCTTTGTGTACAAGAAATTGCAATAATGAATATTTATGACATTTCACTTCCAAGGACAGAATCTCACAGCTATCTATTGACTTTTCCCTAAATCCCTTCTTTTACTTCAGTAATACGTTTTTGTCATTTTTCATCTTTGTTGCGTATTCAGCCTGTATGTCTGCCTCTGTGTGTTTGTTTTAACTTCACCTAAAAAACCTTGTCATAATTTTTTAATAACTCACTTTTGTGATATTTTTATTGAACTTTTAATGAATTTCTAAACCAACTTTTTCTTTCTTTTTTTCTTGCTGGGTCTCGTTTTCAAACTGTTATCCCGTATTAACATTTCTTTCTTTTTAAAAATCTGGAATTTTTTAAAAGAAAAAAATTTAAAACACACACTGTTATGCTCTGTGTCAGCATTTTATTTGTCTTGCTATATATCTATAATCTCTATGCCGCATGTTATATGTAACAATGATTAGTGTCTTATGAAATATGTCTTTTATAAAACAGGACTATTTGTTGAACAAGTCATGAAAAAAAATCAAATGCCGGTATCAGTGAAGAAATTTTGACAATCAAAAGATTGAAATCGGCTAAAATGAGACCTGCTGCCACAAAACCCAGGCAAAGCTGACAAAAACATGATGTCCCCCAAAAAGTTGTGCAAGCAGATATCCTTTAATTTCTCAAAAACTACTTAACATGAGTATTTCATCTTGATGGAGCATATTAATTATACTCTTGTGTACAATCAGTGAAAATGCCATGGAAATCTGTTCATTCAAACCAGAGATCTAACAGATTGTAAAAGGCTGTGGGTTTCTCATCCATTCCAATGGGATGGGATTTACACAGTTAACTTAATTTAAATCAGAGTGAAAAGGCCCATGACAATCTGAGGCACTGATCACTAACTGTGTAAATCCCATAGGAACGGGTGAAAAATCCATAGCCTTTTACAATCTGTTAGATCTCTGGTTTGCATGAACGGATTTCCATGTCATTTTCACTGATTATACACAATAGTATTATTAATATGCTCCATCAAGATGAAATGCTCATGTTAAATAGTTTTTCAAAAAATATTAAAGGATATCTGCTTGCACAACTTTTGGGGGGACACCCTGTATTATTGTTTTATCTTAGTCTTCAGCATTTACTGAGAACACCAGGAATTTTTTGAAACTGCCAAAACTTAAAGAAAACTAATTGTTAACTTTGTCCCAGTTTTGTGGGAGCAGGTGCCATACCATTTAGCTGATGCAATCTGTGATAAAGAGTATATTTTTGGGCTAACAGTTGCAACATATGGCTTTAAAACACATTTGCATGATCAGACTAAACTTACTAATTTGAAATTGGATTAAAAAGATATAGTTTATTTTAACTATTGTGAGATTTTTTTTTATAGTAAGGAGCAACTGTATTTTGTAAAGAGTCAGTATTTGTGTGTGAAGCGATTCACATCGGTGCAGTTATTTCAGATTTAAGGTAATATACAACATTTGCAAACATAAAAAAACCCCCAAAAATTACCAAATTATTATGAAATACCTGGCTGAACTGTAAGTGAATAATAGGCTCAAGCATCTTGTGAAATCATGGTAACTGGAGTGTTGTCATTTTCAAGAAAAGTGGTATTTTTGTGTCAATTTCCAGCAATGGTCGGCTGACCATCATTGGAGAATCAAACTTTTTTTTCTCAAATACTGCCCCCAATTTATCTAAATTTAGTTAAACCACATTTTGTTTGCAATCACTTACAGTTACACATCAGTGAACAGGTTCAAGCCAGCTAGTTTCGTTAGCAGTAGGGTCAGAGAACCAGACTACAAGAACAGCATTTTTGTTCTTGGTTTTTCCAGCATCTATGAACACAAACCTTTAAACAGATCAGTGTAACAATCTTTGCTATAAAACACTAACCCCAAATCCATCCATTTCTGAAAGTTACAGCAAAAGCAAATGTTGTATATTCCCTTTAAGCAGTGTTTAACACAGCTGACCTATGCAGCAAATTAGTAAGAGGGGAAAGTTCAAATACAGTATAGCTATGTATACAAATCCTTAACAAAAAAGCGCCTTATTAAATTAATGTACATGTAGTAGATTTAAAACCTCCCAACAAGGAGATTCGATCTTTCAAAGTCATCTCATTGGTAAAGTTTGTGCTTTGAATAAGCATAAATAAACTGTGTAAGAAGTGATACAAATGTACTTAACACTAAATGAGATTTCAGAAACATATATGTAAACATAATCACAGGCAATTTTTTAAGAAACGGTAAAGTAAATTGAGGATAGGCATTACAGAGAAAAACAGGAACTTAGGATAAGATAGGATTTTTAAAGTTTCTTTTTCAAGTACAGGAGTTCCTGTTGAATGATATGTTTTAAATATATATAACAGGGTAGTGTTTGATGCTTATTAATTATTTATTTCAATAAAATATGATGCATGATTGTACATAATTATTAACCATGGCAAGTTGTTCAGTTGTCTTTGTTGCTGGTGTTGTGTTTAGTCCAAATGAATTTCATCATCCTAACATTGCGTTACTAAACTTTAACAACTCCTTTTTATTTTTTTAACGAATTTTCAAAATATATATTCGTTGTTTTTGGCTCACTCTAACAATCCCAATAAAAACCTCGAATGAGAGCTACATTGTTCTTCAATAATTAAACAGTTCGTCCTCTTGAGGCCGACAAATTTGAGGTTTTTTCCTATAATTTGACAACGTGATCGCTGGAGCGCGTATAGTATGCAAATTTGAGGATCAACTTTTAGCCAATCAGAACTCGTGTCTGACAGCTGACTGCAAACTCAAAGACAACTTGAAAAATCAATTATG